CCCAAAACCCCAAAACCCCAAAACCCCAAAACCCCAAAACCCCAGCAAGGGGTTTCCTTACTGAAAAGCATTTTATGTAACTCTAGGAGCGAATATTAAGTTTTAAACACAACGATTTCTCCTTCTTCAGTTCCTACGAACAAGGTATCTTTTGAGACATTCACTGATGTGATGTACTTATCCTGAGTCTCTGTGATCTTATAGTGATGCTTCTCGTTATGCCAGTCATAACACAGCATTCATCCGTCTTCTAGAGCAATGAGTATTCAGTCCTTGTGCTGGAAGATAAGCTCTATGCCTAAATCTTTGTCAATAGAGATCTCATTAATAATTGTGCCTGATTTTTCGTAGATAAAGAAAGCGTCGTCATAGACTAGCAGGAATGTGAAGGGATCAGCCTTGTTGAATTTTATGATAGCATGCTCTATTTCTTCCCCACTAGGAGTCTTTACTTCTATCCTTTCCTCAATGTTTGCAGGATTAGTGATGTCTCTGATCAGGATTATCCCATTCTCGTCAATGGAGATGATAGAGTTCTTTCAGACATCTGCACTAATGATAGATCCTTCATGATCATAAAATACTTGTGGGTGGGCAAAATCGGAGTTCATCATATTCCAAATTTTTAATGTGGTATCAGCAGAGAAGGACAGCAGGTAAGAGCCAATGACAGAAATGTTGGTAATCTCATTATCGTGGGCATAAAAGTTTCCTATTTCTATCCCTGTGGAGAAGTTAAAGAGGATGATGTTGTTATCTCCAGCCCCAACCACAACACTTTCTTGCTTATTAAGAATGCAGGATCAGACGATCTCTCTTTCACTGACTAAGAAGGATCTTTTCTGAGTATATTGGCCTACTAGTTCTCCTTTGGTTTTCTCTTCTTGAAACAACTTAATCAAGCCATCTCTTGAGACTATCATTAATGAAGTGAGTCCCGATTTATCAGTATAGGCATTGACTTCGATAATTGAGTCATTATGGACCTTCCCAAGACTTTCTTGACTCTTGTATTTAATATACTTAAGGAAGGAGTTGGTTGGGTCAGGATCATAATCATGGTCATTTTCAGTATGGAAAAGTTCCTTCTTCTCCTCTTTAGGAGTATAAAAGGAGTCTTTGGACTCTTCAACGCTTCCCTCCTCTCTAAGTTTCCGACGTGAGGAGAAATCTATATCTGTAATTCCAACTTCTTTGCTTGGAGAAAAATTTTTCTTCATCTCTTTGGTCTCTTCATTTTTGAGGTTTATCATGCTTGGTAGTTTGGCCTTACCCATGACCTCATCTGCTGATATAAAAAGCGATTTTACTATTTGCTTTGAGGAGTATTTTTGAGGGTGGTCGTATCTGAAAAGTTGCCTTGGAGTTTGCCCAAATTCGTTAATCTGCTGCTCTGTAGCAAATCTTTCAAACGGATCAGAGATTAATTCTAGATCTACAGCACCTTCGTATGTTAACGGATGGAAAATGTTATTGTCATCCAAAGATCTTTGCTTTTTACCAAATATGAGGTCTATCCAGAGATGTAGCTTCTCTGAGACATAGTCAGATTCAAGGGCTCGTCTCTGCTTCTCAAGAAAATCTTTTGGAGAATCTGCCCATCTTGGAAGGATAACATCGTCAACCCTTTCCCCATTTGCTCTGATACCAAGGTCTAGTCCTTTAGAATTGACCAAAAATTCTTCTCTTTCAGGTTCATAAAATTCTGGGATTAGCTCTTTTACGTTTCCTGGATTTGTCAGTCAGCTCTCGTATTCCAGCCCAATTCCTTTAAAAAGTCGGTTAGGGTTATCGAAGTGGCCTCCCTGGAATTTGATCATCCATCTTGGATAAAGCCTGAAGAGGTACCCAATGACATACCCTGGTGCTGAATAGTGGGTTCCATAGAGATATTTTTCTCCTTCAGGGATATCATTGTACCTTCTCTTGTATTCTTCTAATCTTTCTGGGTTCAAAGCACCCATTGGCTTGGATAGGTCCCTAAATGTCTCTGGGTTATTAAGATCAAGAGCCACAGAGTCATAGTCCTGGATTACCCATGGGAATACTGGATACTGTGTTAAGTCTGACCGACTTCTGTAAGAATGATAGTTCAACTTTAGTAGATAATCGTAGTTACTCATTTCTCCAAGTACCCACTGTTCAGTGTAATGCATGAGAGATTCTTCAGTTTCAGCATCTTCTACATACTCCATGAGTTTATCATATACGAGGTCTCTTTCTGCTGAAGATTCAAATGCGAGGTAGACAGTCTCTTCTTCTGTCCAAAATTCAAGGCCTTTTCTCATGAGCATATATCTTCTTTTAAAAATCTTCCTAATATCAATGATATTGTAGCTATTGACTGGATTGGAAGCAATTGTTTGGTATGGCTGGAAATATACCCTCCGATTAGTGATGTAGAGGAGTCCCACATTCGATACCAATGGCAATATCTGCTTGACACGCAATTCAGAGTCTAATAGAGCTTTTTCTGAAAGATTTTTAATTCTTGTTTTATCAAAAACAAAATCTCCTCTGATATCATTGAAGAAGTTAAAAACATCAAGTTCATACTTAGTGTATTCCTCACTTCCTGGGTTCAATGTTACTTCATAGACACGATTAAGGGCTTCTAAAAGAGTGCTGATTTTGTCATAATATCAAAGGAATTCAACTCCTAATTCTCCATCTTTGCTAGCCTTGTGGGATACATATCCTCTTGGAATTGCTGCGAGGGGTACTTCTATGCATTTCTCTACCTTAATCCTTACAGATTCCTTATTTAACCAAGACTGGAGCTTTAGTAAAGTGTCTAAAATGATATTTATATAAACACTCTGGTGCATCTGAGTCTTCAAACTCAATAATTATGCTCTTAGAGCAGAAATTGAGGGTGGCTTTTGACCTGATAAGGCTGCCATCCTCAGGATGCTCCACAATAGTCTCTCCTTTGAACTCCATAATGAACTCCTCTCCATCATCCATCAGCAGAGGGATAAATTTCCTGTTACTTCCGTATGCTTGCATATTTTGTAGCAATGACCTAATGCTTTAATAATTTTACAATATTTTTTAATAATGTTGGGGTTTTGGGGTTTTGGGGTTTTGGGGTTTTGGGG